TTTCAAAATACATCCGCATTTATTGTACGTTAATGGCTGACCCCCCGCCCTTGCATGAAGCCTCCATGCATAGTTGGACTTGAGAGTACATGTATGTATTGTTACGTTAACGGGCGCTCGATACCCCTCTATAAAACTGATCCTTTTCTTTTCTTTCTTTTTTTCTTCTTCTGCTGGGTTCACTTCGGACAGAGAGGCTAGGAAAGATTTAATACATTGTAATGTAGTATAATGTATCGCATATAAAGCTGTTTGTTCTTTTTTGTGAGGGTTTTACAGCACTTGCAACACACTAAGGCCATATGAGTGCCGACGATTAGAGGTGTTACAAGAGAGTAACAAACACAAAAAAGAAGGAGGGGAGATAGAGACGACATGATATTTTTTTATATAAATAATAATAATAATAATGGATAGCATTTATATAGCGCATATCCACTTATGCAATGCTCTATGCGCTTAACATGATACATGTATAGGAAAGAAGGATGACCAGACCACACCAGATCACCCGCCAACCACCCACGTTGTTTGGTCTAAAGTTGCACATTTTATTCTAGTGGTGAAAGTTTTCTACTTTTGCATCGCGACCTAATAAATGAGGAGAAAATGGAGGAGGGGTTGATATATGTGCTTGTGTGGTTAGCTCCAATTCTTTCCTCCTATACACCTATCGTCCTTATTTCTCTTCCTTTCCTTTGAATGTTACTCGTACGTAACGCTTCCAATTTTTGGCTTTTTTAAATTCATAAATATATGACTTTATACCATAAAACTGTTACTTAAACAAGACTAAGGGAGGAGGGCTCATTTTACTCTATCACAAAGGTCAAGAAAATTTCTCCGTCACGATGTTATGATGAAAGTGAAAGTGAAAGCAAAATTGAAATTGAACGCCTTGATACAGTTTAAATAATCAATGACGAGTGCGTTTCGTTATCATACAAACGCTGTAAATAGGTGTTTGTTTTTTTTTCTTTCAAATGTTCACATGATGAACTGCATGTGTATCCCCGCTTACTGTAACACCTCTTTATCACACGACACCCGGAGCTAACATTGACAGTGGGTGGTTTGCGGGTGCTCTGGTGTGGTTTGCTCCTTCTTTCCTATCAAACATCTATCGTCCTGAATCTCCTCCTTCTTTTTTTTGTGTTTGTTACTCTGTTGTAACACCTCTAATCTTCGGCACTTATAAGACCTTATTGTGTTGCAAGTGCCGTAAAACTCTTACTAAAAAACTAACATTTGACTGATGGAGTGGACGACACCACGGGTGACATAATATAATATATAGATCTACGCCTCGAATAAACGCTGGGGCTGGAACTAAAACAAATAACCAGGAGTTCAACACAAGTTCGTGCCATTGAAAACAAAATTTACGTCCCTATTTTGGCTTGTAGAATTTAATGTGAGGTTTTTTAGTCATACAGTTAAACTTAGAGTCTTGACGAGACAGTCAGGAATTCAGGTAAAATACGAGTACATGATAATGTAGTGTAAATTTAATCAGTGTGTGAGCCCGGGGAATGGAGTCCGCCAATCTTAACTCAAGACCACAAACAAGTACAATGACAGAAAACTTTTTTTTTCTCCGACTTTTTAAATTTTTTATTAAAACAAAATAAATGTTGTTGTACTATTGTTCTCTATTAACAGATTGAACCAATATAATCCTCTTCCTCTCTCTCTCTCTCTCTCTCTCTCTCTCTCTCTCTCTGTGTGTGTGTGTGTGTGTGTGTGTGTCTGTGTGTTTCCCCCATCTCCGAAGTAACAGT